TCCCACTCTGTAGGTTTCCTCTTCAGTCTTACACTTTTGCTGTACAGAAGCTTTCTAGTCTGATATAATCCCACTTGTTGATTCTTACTGCTATTTCTTGCACAACAGAGATTCTGTTAAGAAAATTCTTTTCTACACTTTTGTCTTCAAATATTTTACCTATTTTATCTTCCACAAAGTTTAATGGTTCTGCTTTAATGGTTAGATCTTTGATTCATTTTGATTTTAATTTAGTACATGGTAAGACATTAAGGGTCCTGTTTCATTATCCTACAAACATAATCTGATTACTCAACACCTGCTTCTGAGCCCTCTGTGGAAGAGCAAACAGTTAAATCTGAACCCTCTCCTTTTTTGGGTTGAAAGCCTTGGCTTTTTTCGTGCTGTTATAAGAAAAATGGCAGACACACTAGATCTGCCCTTTACCAAATTCCATGTCCCTTGTACTGCATGTTATGTATATATTTTTTGTTGAATCTGTATGAACAGCTTATATCATACATGTAGGACATTCTTTTTAAAAATGAGGAAAAGGAAGCCATTTAGTAAAAGGAGACTATGTTATTTAACTACAGTTTTTAATAGCATATGTATATATCGACTAGTACTTCTAAACCTACTTCCTGATTTTAAATGTGTAGCAGTAAAATTTTAGATTAAAAAATAAGGGTTTGGTCTCAAATATTTGTTACCAACTTCTTATCAGAATGAAAACAATTCTCTGTGTCTCTATGTTGGCTTTCTAGTAATAATATCACCTGAAATTTTAAATGCAGTTTTACATCTAAAATGGTGCACACATGCGCACACACACACGCAAAATAAAACGGCACAAAAACTAATTTCATGGATATGAGCAAGAGTCCAACCTAACTTTAACATTCTCCTTTAGTCATAAGAAATTTCTCATCTCACTTTTGAGTTCAATTAAGCAGCAGAAAGTTTTAAAAAGAAAAGTCATACGATACTGGTAACGAAAGGGTGCACTCCTGCATGGTCTTTTTCCATTCATTTCTAACACACCAGGAGGGCAGGAGTAGATAAACACTGTGTGTGAGTTGGTGGGGTTGGTATCAAATCTTCAGATGTTCGCCTGAAAACAACCCAACCCTCATGTCTGAGCACACTGTGAGTGGCGGAAACCATTTATTCCATGGGGAATGCCACCCACTATATTTAAGAAATGTGGCTATACATGCCTCTGAACACGATCTGAATTGAGCTTCTTGGAAAACAATGAGCCAGGAGTCAGCTGGTGACCTTTTATTCAGAAATTTAACATTCTCTTCCAGTTAACATAAAAAGGCCCAACACTTCAAGTTAGCCCCGCATCAAGGATCAGTTTGAATAATGAAGCCCACATTTCCTGACAGATTAGATCGCTTTACTGCTATGCATCCACAGGTGACAAGCTGAGGTGTCCACGAAAGCATAAGGTATTCACATAAAAACTGTCCAGCTTAGCAGAAGACCCAGAAAGAAACACCCAGCAAACACGGCAAATGACAAGATGAAACCTGATGGGGAAAGATGTATACTGAAAAGCTCCTAGAAATAAGTATTTTTCATTCTTAAAAAGAGAATGAATAGCAAACTTACAATGAAGTTTTGTTTCTGAAGATCAGAAACTAATGGCAGATAAAAACCAGCAAATGGAAATCATAAAATCTTAAAGTTAAGATAAAAGTAATATTTAATTTCATTGGAAAAAATCAGTGACTTTATAATGAAGAGGACTTCACTAGCAAATTCTACCAAACGTGGACAGGATAAATCATTCCAACTTTATACAAAAACCTTTACAAAATATTAAGAAGATACACTTCCTAAGTCCCTTTATACACCATCATAATGAAGCCCACTAAATGAGAGGTTCAAATTGGACATGACTCTCTCAGCACCCGACCTGTTTGCCAACAGAGGCATTGTTTTCAGCTGAGACTCAGCTCAGCACCCACGGCTGAGCTGGGCTTGGGTTTGCAGAGGCAAACCCAAGATGTCATAAAAGAGACAAGATAGAGCAAGAAATCTTGCAGGTCCCCAGACATCTGAAGACACCCAAAAGTTTATATTGGATGCCTCAAGGATATGGACCACTGAGGTGCAAGACAGTCAGAGAACTTTGACCGCTGATGTTTCTCAACATCTTCCTGCCTAACGTCCCTTGCCTTCTTTTCATGCCTATAGAAAGGGTCTGCCCGCCTTTGTTCCACACTGACAGCTTTATTGCCTGCACCGAAGTATTAAACCATATGCCTTACTGTTCTCACAAAAGCCTGTCAAGTGGTCTGTGCTTCGAGTTAGTCCCTTAAAGAAACTGAAACTGGGCATGGTGGCACACACCTGTAATCTCAGCATGCAGGAGTCTGAGGCAGGAGGATCACTGCAAGTTTGAGCCCACCCTGGGCCACATAGTGAGTGCAAAGTTAGCCTGAACTGCATAGTGAGACCTTGTCACAAAACAAACAAACAAACAAAGAAGCTGAAAAAGAAACCCAATCTAAAGTCATGAATATCAACATGAAAATCCTAAATAAAATAATAACTTTCCAAACTCTGCAACAAATAGAAAGAATGATACTTTACAACGAGTCTTGGTTTGTTTCAGTAATAGAAAACTGGTTTAACACTGCAAACAATGAATATACTTTGCTATATTCACAGATTAAGTAAGAAGTAATCCTCTTTCAACAGATGCCAGAAAGCATTGGATGAGACTCAGTACTGATGGGTAATAATATGATTTAGAAAACCAGGAACAGAAAGGATTGTTTTAGTCTGGTTATATTAGGACAAGATGTGCTACAGGAACCAACAGACTAAAATTTTTCAGCAGTTTAACACATAAAAGTCTGTTTTTTGCCTATACAAAGTGTGCTTTTAATCAATAGGTATTTCAAGTAGCTCTCTTCCAAGAAATGACTCAGATCCAGGATAAATCTGTCCAGCAGCTCCTAGCATTCACTACTCCTATTTAGAACTTTCCTGGAAATCCTGGCTACTGAGTTTGGTAAGAAAAAGAAATAAAAGGTATGAGGATTAAAGCACAAAACCTAGTAATCATAAATAAAGATTTCAAAACAAAATCTAAATGGCTTTTGAGATCTATTACTAACATGAGTTTATCATGGTTTCTAGATATATTTATATTTGAATTCAATCATGCTTTTTATAATAAAGTGCCAATAGAGCATATAATTTGTAAAAATCCCATTTCGGTAAGATGAAAATGTCATTTAACTATATAGCAATTAATTGGAAAAAAGGAACCCTTTAGAAATAAAAATAAAACTTTCATGTATGTTAGGGAAATCTAAAAGAAACGGAATTCCTAATAATGAATTCGAAGACTCACATTATGCAGATGGAAGTTCTTATATTCATCTAACAGGTTTTTGGTGGGCTCTGACACAATGATTCTAAAATTTATAGAGAATACTAAAGGACCAAGAATGCTCAAAATTACCTTCATTGTTCAGTATGACACATGTACCTTAAACCTTGGTTTGCATTAATCTTAGTGGATAGGCCATTTTCTACATATGTACATACAGTACAAACATCACTCAAACTAAGATGTAAACATTTCCTGCACTCCATTCAGTTAGCCTGTGCATTTTCCCGGTTGTAATTCACCATTAAAAGGCAATCACTATTTTGATTTCTACTACCAGCAACTAGTGTTGATTCCCTTAACTGGAAATATGTAATATGTTCTCTTTTTGGCTGATTTGAAAACAGCTGAAAAGGAATAAGACATCTTTTTCAGCAAACAGCAAGAAGAATTCTTTTTGATTTGGCCATGTCCCTCTTGTTAGGCTAATGTCAGTCACGGTACCTTTCACAGTGTAATGCACCATGTCTGGCTCCTATAATTAACTGCCTCTCAGCACTGAGTTCCTGTAGCACTAAGTAAAACCTGCCATGCCCAGTAACATCAGTTTCCCCTCATATATCTCTTTGAACAGCTTTGCAATTAAAAATCACCAGCAAGGCATTCCACAAATGCATCCCTTAAACCACTTTAGGTGGCTACGGAGGAGACAAGGAGCCATTTCATGAATGGCTTTTCCAGAAACCTCAAGGGTAGCTTAACGCTGACCTTCAAGGTCTGGCACTGCTTTCCCAATAGATGACTTTCTCCAGCATCACAGGGGGAGAATTTCCACCAGCAAAGTATCTTAGTAACTTTACTAGCCATTGAGCCACAGCTGTTCCCTTCCTACAGGGTCTAGAGCTCACTATGGGGAGCCCTGGAGATCAGAAGTAGGGAAAGGAATCTTACTCTGGTATCTTCTCAGCCATAGGGATACGTGCTACTTCCTACACTGTTAAAGACATGAACCTATGTAGAGTGTATAATGTCTTACAAATTGGAAAGTTCTATGATCTACTTAGTGACAAAAGTCTTGTACAAACTAGTTTTATGAGGAAAAGAGAAAGTTACCCCTCACAAAAGCACTAAATCCATATAGTTTTACTGAGCATTCTACTGAACTGTCAAAGACAGATAGGTACAAAAGTTGTATAAAAGGATTCATGATGGCACCAGAAATAGAGTATTATAACTAATTATAATGCCTCAGATTATTAGTATAAAACTTCAAAAAGCAGTAAGAAACAAAATCCAATCTCTGACAGTTTGCCCCAAATGTCACTTGGGCAGCACTTTTTTTAGGTACTATCCCGAGTGTCATTCAAGTAAGTGCCATTTCAACCAATTTGATTTTTATATTGAATAAATTTGATAAAAGTGTCACTTCTATATATTATACTAATTTGATTTTATAAAAACAAAAAATATGCAATTTTTGATCATCCAATATTTAAATAATTGGACTGGTAACAAAGATGCCCATCAGGAACATATTTGGTTCAGTCTCAAGAAACACAGCAACATAAATATATCATAATAATGGAAGCAGGAAGAACCACCATAAGGGTATTTCTACAGTGCTTTTAAAATGCCATATCCAGTCTTTCTCCACCACCAGGCCAGAACCTGTCATATTCCTAGAAAGAGGCCACCACTTTGGGGCAGATCTGCTGTGCCTTAGGAGGGCATTTCTCTCCCCTCGCTTAAAATATGCCAAATACACACTACTAGGTCGGCCAACACTAGCTCTTGGTTAACATACACACATGATATCAAGAAAAACAGAATGAACGTACACATACTTTACTCATAGAACATCCCACCTAACTTTCTTGTCTTAATAGGGAAATATTAGAGGTATTTCTCCTATCATCAGAATCAAAATACAAGGGCTACCCTGTTATTTAACATTAACATTCTATTTAGCTTAATCAATTTAAGCCAATTAGACATAAGAATTGGAAAAATAAAACTATATCCACATGATATGATATCAGTAATACACCTAGTTGTCTTGGTTACTTCCCCTCACTGTTGATATAAAATATCTAACACCCAAAGTTAAAGAAGGAAAGATTTATTTAGCTCATAGCTTGTGGAGGTTTTAGTCCATAATCAGCTGGCTCCTAAGTAAGGTAAAATGGCAGAGGAACAAGCATACATGGCAGCAGAAAACAGCAAAACAACATGAATAAAAAGGGAGGAGTGTGGAGAGAAGACTTTCTGCCCCTTATAGTGGATGTAGGCCATCCACCCTAGGGTGAGTATAGCACTCACACCCATACTCTCAAGATTGGATCATGAATTAATCACAAATTCCAGAAACCCTCCCCCCATGACTGCATGAGGCCTTGGACTGGGCAGGAGGCATCCAGACACAAATCTAGAAAAATCTAAGAACCAAAGAACAAAGTATCTCCATAGTAAAATACTTCAGTAAAGTAGCATATAAAAGAGCCACAAAGATAACATACTTACAGTAACGTTAATGAAAATTTTGCTAAACTTCTATGAAGAATATTTTAAGACACCTTTAAAAGACAAAAAGTAGACTACAACAAATAGTTATCTCTTATTTTTGGACAACATCATAAAGATCTCAGTTTTATCTCTTATTTTACTCAACATCATAAAGATATCAGTTTTGTGCAAATTAACTTCTAAATTCCAACAAAATTACCAACTCTAATAAAAATATCCATAAAATTTTTGGGTTTTATAGAGCTTATTATCATTTATATCTAGGTGACCACCAAAAGCCTCATGTGCTCATAGGTGGGGATTCTGGGAGGTGACTGGATCATGGGGGAGTGGAGTCTGATTGGAAGAGGTGGGTCATGGGGGCGTGGCCTGGAAAAGTATCTCTTTTCCCTAAGTCCCTCTTTCGTGTTACTCTACTATGAGCTGTTTCTTCTCTGCCATTCTTCTACCTTAGAGCCAGCTGTCTGGAATGAAAGCTCTATAAACTGTGAACCAAAATAAACCTTTCCTCCTTTAAATTGTGGGTGCCAAAGTATTGTCGCCTCAGCAACAAGAAAATAGCTAAGACAAAGCCAGACAGCATAGTAAACGCCACAGAGAAAGACAAACATGTAAAAATAGTTAAGAAAACAATAAAAAGGAAAGCTGGGAAAACATACTTATCAGATATGAAAACATATCACAATGCCTTTTTATATTAAAACAAGGTAGTACTAGCACATGACACTAATAGAATTAAAATCCAGAAGTATACCTGGTTTAGTATGTAAAATGTACATCTTGAATCACTGGGGCAAGGAAAGACTTTTAATAAATTCATACTAGAACAATTGAATAGACATTTTTAAAAAGATAAGAGTTTAACTTCACTATATAAGAATAAAGTTCAAATGGATCTGAGACACAAATGTAAAAACTTATAGCACAAAATGCTAGATGAAAATATGAGGGAACTATTAAAATGTGAGTGTAAAAAGCAGCTTTCTAAATATGATCAAATTCCAAGTATAATTTTTTTAAAAATTGACATGATTATATAATTTTAAAATTTTGCATAATGAAAAATGTCATAAGCAAAATCGAAAGACAAATGAAAAATTGAGAGAAAAGGCTTACAATAAAAACCATAAATGAAAGGCTGCAAGTTCTTGTATATTATATGTATTATATACACAAATACAAAATAAAAAATTGGAGAGAGGGAGGTTCAAAGAGTCTAGTAGAAAAATTGATAAAATTCATGAACAGACAATTCATATGGCATAAAAATGATCCTTATGCATTAAAAGAGGTCTAGTTTTATTCATAAGAGCAAAAGAAATTAAAGTTAGACTGAGGCATCACCTTGTGTATCAATAAGTTTGGAAAAGTTAAAAGAGCTCTAAAACATTCTTGCTAAGGCTGTAGAGAAACAGACATGCCCATACTTTGCTGGAGGGCATGCAAACTGGTGAAACTCTTAGGGAAGACAGCAGAGAACATCTGAAACAAATAGATTTAAAAAAAAAAAAACCTACAAATGTATTTCTGTCAACTACAGTAATCTCAGTTTCAAGAAATTATGCTTCAAACTGGATGTGGTGGGGCACACCTGTAATCCTCAGTATCGGGGAGGGAGGGAGGGAGGGAGAGAGAGAGAGAGAGCGCATACACGCCAGCAAGAGCAAGAGAGCGAGAGAATTTGCACTTTAAACAAAATGAAAACAGTACACAAGGCAAGCCAGGGATTTAGCTCAGTGGTTTAAGTGCCTGCCTGGCAAGCACAAGGTCATGAGTTTGATCCCCGGTAATAAACAAACAAAAAAAAAAAAGTGCACAAGGCTACTCATTGCAGACTTATGTATAATTACAAAATACTGGAAAAAGTACCTATCTATTTATGTTGAATAAACTATAGCACAGCCACATGAATATTCTGCAGCTAAAAAAATGAAGATCATCATTTACTGATATAAGATAATTTCTACCTTATATCATAAGTGCAAAAGAACACTGTAACTTGAAAGGGACAGAACTGTATACAGATATATGTATATGCTGATTTTTGCAGAAAGAAATTAATGAGACTTGGTGAGCAGAAGTGAATAAAAGGGATTTGAGTGGTGAGTAGCAACTTTCAGTACCCTTTTGAGTTATTTTGTCTTCTGGAACCATGTTAATATTTCATGTAGCAAAAATCACCTTGATAAGGTTGAGGCACAATCAACAAAATTCAACTTTGGGAAACTCTCCAGACAAAAGTGCCTAAGGAGCTTCAAGAGGCAAATTGTAAAAAGAAAAAGGAGATGACATCTTGAATTTTAAAAATTCAACAGAGAAGTGTTGCCTCCAGTTCCTGCAAACATGAGTGACAAAACAAAAATAAATGCAAGGAGGTGCCTGTCAGGACAGAGGTGATGTGGGACAGAAAGGAAGGATTTTTGCCCTAGGACCTGGTATATGCTCAGACTTCTCAGGCTGCAGGCAAAACTGTATTTCTTGACCTGAGCAATAGACAGTCACAGAGTAATTCTGTGTAGTTGTTCGGAGTGGTATTCTAGATAGTGTTTCACTTTATGGTAAAAAGTTTTAGGAAAAAAAAAATAAAACATTAAGTGCCTGGCTATTTCTCAGTTTCCTGGATTATGTTTACACACAGGTATCCTTAAACCATTAGCATTTTTTCTGCTACTCAGCATGATTCCATAACATCATTAGATGGTGCATGATCAAAGAACACATCCTAATTTTCAGATTAGAGTAAGAAAAACATGAATATTAGGTTTAAAGTACTGCCAACAATAACTTTCGTAATGCATTCCAGTACCAACTATAAATTCGAAATTGTATGCACTATTATCTGCACTGCCATCTTCCTTCAGTAGTGTAGATGCTGGAAATACGAACCCATTTTGTTAAGAAAACTTAAGACAAGGTACAGGAGGAGAAGTGTTCCTACATGAGATAAGACCTGAAGTTCTGCAAACTCCTTGGATACATCTGTAATCTTCATAATGGCTACAAGCAGTTTTGGCTTAAATGGTGCTAAGAGTCTTGATTTGTGCTGGCCTTTGAATATTTAAATGGGAGTTGGGGGTTAAAATCAAGACTGTTAGTATTACCCAGATTTTATCAGTTAGTAATACAAACTGTAACTGGTTAGTTCTGGTACCTTCTGTGAATCAGGCAGATCACAGAACATGATCTCCATTCTAAACAAGGAAGAAAACAAAAGAGAAAGAAAGAACCCATCCCATACCTCAGTGGGCACTTACATGGTAAGTTGTCTCTCTCCTCATGTTTCTTGTCACCTTGGGGACCCAAACAAAGTCAAGTTTGATAGTCTATCTTTGGTTACAGGTAAGTCTTCAAAAATTATTTACTGCCTTCCCCACATTTTTCTTCTAATTTGTGCAAAAAAAAAAAAAAAAAAGATCATGCAGATAAGTTCCTGAAAATGTGTTTAATGCTACATAGTATGTACAGATCTAATTACAGTATTTAAAAGAATGGGGCAGGGATAGTTCAGTCAAATTCCCAGAGGCAGAAAAACAGAATGGTAGTTGTCAGAGGCTGAAAGGAGTCCTTATTTCCTGGGTGCAGAGCTGCAGCTGGGGAAACAGAAATATTCGGGAGGCAGAGGGTGGTGAGGGTTGCATTACACAAGTGTTCTTAATACCAACGAACTACTAGTTGTTTCACAACGGTACAAATGATAAATTTGATGTTGTGCATGTTTCTCTGCAATTTGGAAAATGGACCCAAAGGGTATCTTTGGATAAAACACATTGTTTGGCAAAGTTAATCGACGTTTAATTGCTCTGTTTACAAAGTACCGAAACTTGGCATATAGCTGAGAGGCACAGCTTAAGTTTGTGTGCTGCAGGCCCTGGGTTCAATCCTCAGCACTCAAAAATAAAAAATATGTATGAATTTGCTAAAAGGGGAATAGACTGTCAACTAGCTAGCATCAATGTAGGCTTTCATCTCCTCTGTGCTATGCACTGTATCCACAGTGCACTTTAACCCAGACTTGCTCCTGTATGTGGCCATGTGAGGCTGTCTTTGGCACCTGATGCCACAGATAGTACTAGAGAAGGGATTACACATTCATGATAGGGTCCATAGGCATGTCTGTCCCATTGGGCACTGGTGGTCCCAGCTGCCCAATGGAATAGTGATACATGTACCATTCGTGGGCCAAGCCAGCAGGAATGTGTCAAGAGTATCAGCTCTTAAAGGTGATCTACCAGGAAGTGTGATGAAGCAAAGCTTACTTACTCAAACTTTTGCACTGTATTCTTAACAAGGATCTACGCTTTCCTCTTCCAC